CTTATTTAAATTTTTTCGACAAATGACAATAGACAAATTTATAAGGGTTGTAAAGAATGAGTGTAATTTGTAATTCGTTTGTAAGTTAGTATTTCCCTCACATATATATTGTCCTAAGAATTTTTAGAGTTGTAATTTTTTATAAGCCACTAATAAACATTATTATCACTATCACTATCACTATTATTATTATTACTATTACTATTATTATTATTATTATTATTATTATCACTATCACTATCACTATCACTATCACTATCACTATTATTACTATTATTATTACTATTATTATCATTATTATTATTATTATTATTATTATTATTATTATTATTATTATTATTATTTGTTTAATCACCTGAATGAGTCTGCTGTGCATTGCAGCTGGGTTGCAGGCGATGTTGAAAACAGTGCCATATGGAGGTTTGCGACGTAAGTTTGTTGTGAAAACATAAATATAATTTCCTTTGCAGTAACTGCATAATGACAGCTCAAGTTTAAACCCTCTCCTAGGCTTCAAGTTTTATGGAGAGGGGATTAGTTCCCTTGTGTGAGGGTTACAGATTCCGATAAACTGTTGCAGAATTAATAATTAGTTTAGTCGAATTCCCAACTTTCAAAATTCATCAACGCAATGCGCGGAAGAGACATATTAGACCATCTATAATCAGTAAGCAAAGAGGCTTATTTCAGCCAATCAAACAACCACAAGCCTGCGTGATGTTAAAGAGCCTCGAGCACTAGAGATCGCCAAACCAGTTTTTATCTTCAAAGCAGATCGTATCATCATTGCCGACTACACAGGAACTTATAGATTGTGTAGGTCCACAGTAGAACAAGAGACGATCGTCGACTTTTGAGTAGAAAACAAAACATGTTTAGTTTATGGGTCGCGGCAAGAAGGGGGATCACAACTGGAAGAGAGCAGCTAACCGACGATGAAGTTAAATCGTCTCCAACTTAAAGAAAGCTCAAATGTGTAACATGTATGCGAGCAACCCTTGCTATTAGCCTCGGGGGGAGGTACTCCCCAACGTTTTTGGTGGGTGGTATGCGGCTTAAACTTTCAGACAAAAATCTGTGATTTTCCATACGCTATTTCAGACCTGCGCAAAAAATCAATACCCCATTACAGACTTCCAAAACTAGTATACGGTTCTAATATATGACCGCAGCTAATCAGAATTGGCTTCCACTTGCGTAAAAATTTGAGAAGGGCTATAAATTTGCCAGTGTTGATGGGAAACAAAAACATTCCTTGTAAACAAAATACCCAATACCCAAATACCCAATGCCAAGTCAGAGTGAAAAAAAACCTAATACCTAATACCCTTTTTCCGATCAAAACCGCTCAAAACCGCTACATCGCCTATTTAAGAGAGTACGCCGCCTCCCTCCCGGGGCTATTAGCCCGGTCACAACTTCAGTCTGAACAAACGTAGTGAAGGACTGCGTCGTATAACCCACACCCAAAAAATTGTGTTCCGCTTAACTGATACAACGAATGACTCCATGGTTATTTAAGGAGTTTTGGTTAAGTTAGATGAAATTTGTCAGAATGTTAAGGGTATAAATCATCTCATGGAAGGTCTTCGCCCGCTCAGTTATCCTCGTGTTTGAAATTATTTGATATTAAGCTTGCTGTGCTGATCAAAGACTTTGTAGGTCCACATCAGCTTTTTAGCTGCCATTTAATGACCTACGTGACTTTTTAAAAAAAATACTTAAGTGGTCTATTTTACTCTTGCTATCAAACAGCTACTACATTCCTCTGTTTATTTGCATCATTGGACTTTTCATTGCTTACACATATATCTTTGTCACTCACCGGCGAGAGGTCAGTGTTACATGTAACATTTTTATTTGTTTATTTCTGTTTTGCTTGCAAGCTATCTGTCAATTGTAATCGTTTTGCATTGTGTTTTCCTGGCTTTTACTTTATGTCGCGACGTTTCAGTATTCCGGAGTATTGCGTGCAAGTTTGTCCCGCCGATTTTTTTTTTCAACCAAGAGATAACTTGTTTAGGGTTTGATTTTTACTCGGCTTTCATTTATTTGTAATGATGGAATTCCGAGTATAAATATATAGTTCCAGCTGAGTTCAGCTCATGTTGATGAACAAAGTCGCCTTTGTAGAAACACCTTGATGAAAATGACTTTATTCTTTTGTAATAAGCGAATTCGTGATGTCATTTTTCAGGTTAAGCGATGGGAAGGAGTTCACAGCAGGAACAGTGCAGCAGAAGATGAACAGAGAAAGGTTGAATTGATCATATTAATATCTCATTCTCATTCTCAAATCTCATTCTATCCTTGTGGTGCTATTCTCTTACTGCGCCTTTCAATAACATGCGGACTCTAAAATTCAAAGCTCAACCGACGAATGCGTTTTTCGCTACCGTCAATCAAATGTTCGGCGGCTCCTTCCGGCTACTGCCGAGCGCGCGGTAATCAAATCGTTGAGCACAGTTCAGACAATGAAACAGTGCTCAGAAGTAGTCGGAAGCTGGGAGGAGCCGCCGAACATTTGGTTGACGGTAGCGAAAAACGCATTTGTCGGTTAAGCTTTGAATTTTAGAGTCCGCATGTTTTTGAAAGGCGCAGTAAGAACAAAAGCAATTTGGTCCAAACGCATCCGCAGATTAGTTAGCGCCAAAGTCGACTATATGTTGGCGAAAGATACATTTCATAGAGGACTACCCACGAACGTTGAGTGCTTTTCCTTGTGGTAGAACACAACATGTAAGGCGCATGCGTTCTAGTATTGCTAGTGTGATAAACTCCGTTCTCGAGTTCAGATGCACCTTTTTTTTATCTTTTGTAATGAGTCATACGACACTCTCGTTTTGGCCGGGGATAGCAGCTTTATGTCAGGTAACGTCAGTTCTCCTTTTTTAATACAAAGAACGCTACTGTGACCGCGTATCTTCTGGAATCTTCCCTAGCTCGATTCAAGAAATGTTGTCTGCTTTGTGTGTTTGCCAGGGTTCAAATGAAGAATGGAAACATATTGCTTCTCCTTAGCAACTTGTTTGTTTCCTGTTCTATGAAAGAAAGCCAAAATTTCATATTCAGCCGAAACTTTCCCGCGTTAGTTACATGCAAAACTAGTAAATAAACTTCGTTATTATCGCCGCAGACTCCGTGGCACTTAAACCGCCAATTAATTACATGAGTCGATGATTTGACTCGCTCACCGATGTGGGATATAATTTCGGTCAAGTAAAGATCTCTACCTTCAATACTTCTCGTTGAAACGCTCCTCAGTTGTATTACTCGATAGCATTTTGTATTAGTTTGATGTGGTTTTATTGTTAACACCAAAGCTGGCAAGAGAATAAGAACGCACTATTTCGTGACTCGACGTGACTATTTGATTAGTTCTAGTTTTATTGGTGAAATAAAAATTTGCGTTTTGAATAAAACGAAATCATTCCTCTTCGACTTTTTAGCAGATATTTACCTTTTATATTCCATTTATCTTCAGCTGTGAGTAAAAAAAAAATACACATCTTTCTGATATTTACGTGGAAACAAAGGTATCTTGTTGCATACATTGGTGAGGAAAACAAAAGTATCAAATTACAAACGTTGGTATGAAAAGTAAAATTGTCACGTTTGCTACAAAATGAATGAAACGCAGCATAAAATACCACAATAAATTTAAAACCGTCTTGACAAACGATAAACGTAACTTATTTTTGAGCCTGGAAAGAAAACACAAACATGAAACATACACACTGCTAAGGTTATGTCTTATCAAGTTTTTGTCCGCTCATATTCTGCAAAGGGGAAAAGGCCTTGGGGGAGAACGGCAGGTGTGAGGACCTGTTTGACTACTGTATCAGAGCCGTAAATTACACTCTACACTACCTGAGATTGTCTCAGATAATGCAATCCTCCAATAGAATGTCGGGGAAGATAAGATGCAGCTCGGAAGATAAGCTCGGTCTCTATCTCCTGATATCACAACCAGGGACAACCAACACCTTGATTATTTTAGGTCAGTTTCGGATAAAGTACGTCATAAATCCAATCCAGCGATTATTGTTTTGTTACACTGTTTGACAGAAAACCATAATCATAATGTGAAAGAAAACTTGCTTCAAGTGCATCTGAGAAGCCACAAAGGCGACGGAAAGAAAAGCTTTGTTGTGAACTCTGCGGTACATAATCCTTGTGTCCAGTGAGCCACTAACATCTACAAGCTGTATGGTTTTCTGTTTCAGTTATGGTTGAACCACATTAATTCATTGATGGCGTATCCATTCATCTATCTCGTCCTGTCATTGGCTCCTTTTATTCACAGGTAACTGGTAAAATTACATACATCACTTCCTACAGATATCGAGGCATCTCAGGAAAAGTCATGGCTGTATTACGGAATCATAAGGAAGCGCTTCGTCAGCTTATGTAGGAAGAATGTATAACGTTAAACTGTAAAATGGAAAACTGAAGCTTTCCGGAAGTACTGACTTCAAGTTGTCGTAGCCTACGTGCATTCCTACATTCAGAGCCTGCATCTCCCTTCCTTTTTGACCAGCGTTCAGGAAACACGTTTCCTGATCCCGGGACGCGGCCTCTGAATACAAGATTGAGCCTGCGCGAACGTACGTAGACTTGCTGGTTTGACTCAGCTTAGCACTGGATACCAACATGAGAGGATGAAGAGGAAGACATTTCATCCCCCTTATAGACCTCTTATTCCCAAGGTAATCCCTCTCCAGTTGTTACCCAGTTCTGCCGCTGATAATTTTTTGCCATACATGCGTAGATATTTTCGCGGAGAGTGAAAACGCGTGTGGAGTCGCTTCCGGTTGGGCTGTCCACGTGAGCACAATTGGCTTTTTGAAGACCCTCCTGAGATTTCCAAAACCGAGAATGGTAACTTGTAAGGGATTACTTTGGGAATAAACCTACATGGGACATTAACTGTCTCACTCTTTATCCTCTATTTCTGCTTATCATCTTCAATTTTTCTAAAGAAAGAAAAACTTAATACGAACAAAGATTTTTTCATTATGTTTGATTGCAGAGTTTACAACGCCATTTCTTCAGAACCAAGCTTCGTGCTCATTCTTCTTCATGTGATTTCTATTCCTCTGACAGGTAAAGTAACTTGTCAGTTCTGTCATTTTCCTATGCTTGATATAGCACTACTGGTCCAGAAAAGGTTAAATGAGAGGTAAGAAAACTGCAGGGTCTGTTGATTTGAACTAATGGAACTTCACACAGTATCCTTATTGCCGATAGTTGAATCAATTATTTTCTTTCAAATTAATTATGTTTCTTGTATACTCGATTAGTCAAATGTTCATCTGGGTACACTTTTGTTTTCACGAAAACTCACAAGCATGTCTTTTGTAGGTTTGATTAATGCCATTGCATTTGGAATTAACAAAGAAACCCTCAGCAGACTGAACTGGAGTGACATGAAGGTACGGTGAATAGAACGGTGTGTAAATAATGATAATATAAAAAGATACCACTCTAAATGTATCAAACTGGAGGCCTCCTTTATTGCTATCAATGTTGCTCCGTCTGAAATGAATACTGAAAAGTCTGGCGCTGTTGGCATTGAAATAATTCGTGTTAAACTCATAGTAGGTTAAAAGATTACCGCAAAGCTCTTTCGTCGCTCCTTCTCAGCTGACTAGATGTGTGATACACATTGTAACAGTTGTTATCTCTTTCTTTTGTTTTGTAGACGGCTTTTCAGCAGCATTTTCCCGTCGGGAACATGAGAATGGACTCGTCCATGGGGGAGCATAGACTTGGAGAACCCACTAAAACGAATGACTATCAGATATAGCAACCTGTCTTAAACAGGGCGGGGCTAGTGCAAGAAGAGCCTTGCACAAATAAATGGCTATGAGGGGTTCAGAACCTATTAAGACAATCGTACTACTCAAGTGGCGCGCATGGTCTTGTTTTAGAATTAAAAAGTGTAGCATATAAAATTTTATTACACTCAGAAGCTTTTTCCTGCTGCTGAACTTATAGTATTAACGAGTAGGTAGGCTGGCTGTCAACATTTAAAAGTCGTTTTCTTTTGTCTTGAAAGGTAATAGGCCGCCAAAATTAGACTTGAGACAAAACAACAAGATTAATTTCCCGGCCTGGGCATTCTGTTATATAGGCTATGATAGAGTATGGTTTTTCGGAGCAGTTTCGGTGTGAAACTGGGTCGATATAGATTTTGACCATCTCTTCTGAACCTAGTGTGGTTCGTTCAAGCTGGTCAAGAATTAGGTATAATTCTTAAAAGATACTTTAATAAGGCACCACCAGATTTACCGGGTTGGTGTGAGAAATGTCCCTATATTTAGATTTTGTAAAATTTGCAATGCGCAGTTATGTAAACTAATTATGGCAGGGGCCGAGTGGGAAATCAAATTTTCCTGGTGCCTGCGGGAAAAAAAATAGCAGGTTATTAAAATTTCGGAATTGCTTTGTTGTAAATAATGGTTCGATTGTCAAAAAAGCTTAGCTTTCTTATAGCACTTGGGATGCACAGATTAGTGCTCGCGGTACTCAACCGCTGGCAGTAACGAGAGTGTAACGAAAGCCGCTGGTAGTAATTAACGTGGAACGAGAACCGTTGGCAGTATTTTACAAGGGAACTAACACTGAACTGATTTGATTTTTACAAGTCACAAATTCACAAGAAACAGGGCACGAAGAGCTGCCATGAAATAAGTTTTATTTCTAGCATGCTTACTATAGTCTAAACATGGTATTTACTAAGTTATACTTCCTATGTTTGAAATTCTATTCATTTTCATTTGACAGTTGCACGTGTCATTTTGGGATATTTTAAGGGTCTAAAATAATATCCGGGTCACAAGATGACGCATGTTTTTTACATTTCAGGAATTGTCCAAGGACAAATGTCTACATATAGTTCAAGCGAAAAGGAAGCTATTGTGGTCATTACTTAAAATATTCATTACACCTTTGATCCTTCAGCGAAGATCCGGTTGACCTGCACCTCTTTAAAGCCTCTATTCTGGTTGGTTCTTGTGAATCTGCACCTCTTTTGTTCCTCGGTTTAGGGGCATTCTTTGTGTTCTTTATCTATTGTTTCGTTTGACCAATTATAAGGAACCTTGTAAATGGTGCAGGTCGCCCATGAAGATGTCGAGACATCAAAAGAATTCTCCGCCTTGATAATAATTTACGTGAAACCAAACAACCGAGGGATCTCACTTGGCCTGTCATTCACAATCCAATCCGACTCCTTGCTGAAGTCATGGGCTGCCAAGACCTATCCCTTCCTTCGTGCGTAACTGCACGACATAAATCGGAAATATTTCGTATTTTACGAAGATGTCCGAAAATAATACTTAGATCTCTGACTTCTAAAGATAACTTACAACAATGCGTTCAGCATTAATCTAGAACATTAAATTAAGGTGATTCCTCAGTATTGCACTGCGCAGCCCTACTGCGCACGATTTTCGCGTAATTAGCGCGCGCACATGAGCGCGCGTAAGATCTCTCCCTCAAGCTAAGCCTGACAGCAAAATAAATGCTCGTTTTCTCTTAAACGAGCATGGTGAACTATATTTTTAATTGCATAATTTTGGTGCTCAAATTATCCGCTCAACGTTAAAAATTAAGGAAAAAATTGTTCTGAAGGAAAAAAAAATAACACTAAAATAGTGCACAAAGCCGTTACTCGAGGATGCGAATGATGACCTTGAAAACAACGATTCGAGAAACGTTTTGAGCCAATGTCCTTTAGAATTGACTGATTTTTCCATAAATTATATATTACTTTGTTCCATGTACCAGAGACGTCCTACCTATCCAATTTTTTTTCAAGTATTGCTTTAATAACCTTTGTTTCCAGCCACCACAAAATGTAACGTGAACTTATGAAATATCGCTCGTGGTTAGGCATAAATGTGGTAAGATTGACCCATCATATCTCTTTAACGAGCATGGTGACCTATCCTTTTTAATGTATTTTTCGAAACAGTACTTGGCAGGGAACATTCTGGGAAAGTTTCAAAAACATTGTTCGGCAACTTTTGTTCCAGAGGAATCACCTTCAGCCACAGCGCGTTTTAAAGCAAATTGCTATCTATTGTTCCAAGGGGGGTGGTGGAGCGGCAACTGGTGTGGGAGAGGGGGGACGGGGAGGGGATTCAGTTGATGTTGCCGAGGACCAAGATGAGTCATCATTGGGTCTGACCTCTGTTGACTCTCCCACAGGATACTCTCGGACAAGACGCTTCTCAGAAGCTGAGTGCTGCATGAAAGCAACCTGAAATAATCAATAATAACCACTTATAATACTTCCTCATGGGTTTATCCTCTCCTACTACTCAGGGCAGAGGCAAGGGCTTATTGCATAAGACTGAAGACTCTCGAAAACTCACTTAAACTAGCTAAAAATACTAAAATTCGCCGGAAATCTGACTTCGAGGAATTCTCAGTGCATGCTCTACATACAAAACAAAACTGACGGCGCTGGATAAACACCATATAACAAAGATTTTACCGAACATGTATGTATACGTCTAATACGTTAGGCTGGCTATAGGACTAACACACATTGTTTCAACTATTAGCGTGGTTTTCACTTAAGTGTTGAAGTGAAGTAATTCGCATTTGATTTGCTTTGCATTTCTACGCTAAGCAATTGGCTGAAAAATACTTGATCAGAAGTAACACCAAAACCAATCATGACTCGCTGACACAAGTTTTTCAGCTACATGTATTTACTTGAGGTTTGATAGGCTCTCTGCACTGTTTGTGTTCTTCTGGTCAGAGTGATTACTTTGGTTTTGATTTACAACACTGGATTAAAATTAATTCCCGTGGAATGTTGCAAAATTCGCCCTAACATTCAAGATTTTTCATATTTTGAACCTAATTGTAAAACTTGGCAATGTCGTGTAGACTTGAGAAAACTCCATCGCTTTATTGCTTAGATATCAGTTTTCATCACACACTTCAGCAGAAAACTAATCAGAACGGAGTACATTGCCGATAATCCCATGCAGATTTTCCCGGCTTAGAATATGGCGTACCTTCATGTGAGACCAGTTGAGCCTGCTCAGTGTTTCTTTGTCCATACCAAAGACAATGGCATTTAGCACCCCTAAATAAACCAGCACAAAAGAAAAGGCCAGAAATCCCTTATAATATAATAGATGATTCGGGTTTTGTGATGAAATTTAACTTATAAAACAAATTAGAACCATAATAACGGTCATCGTCGCTTGATGGAAAAATCAACCAAAAAGGCTAAAATAAAAAACCTCACCAACTAAGGGACTGGACAGAACTTGGAGTAACAGAAGAGTGAAGTTGTCCTCTGAACTGGCTGCGTCCTGAATTCTAGAAAGTTAAAATTATTCAAAACAAAACTCCAGCCATTGTCACCATATCAGTCTGAGCCAAAATAAATGAAGGGTAATGATATATTGAGAGTTTTACAAAACAGCCCCAACGTCCCTGGATCTCGTCCTAATGTATTTTTACTCATGATCATTCATCGTTTGTCGGAATTATGTATTAGCAAATTTTCACTTCGAAATAAACTAACCTAAAATAACAACTTCTTTTGTAGCGACAATGATCTAAATGTATTTGATATACAAGTTATACAAAACAAACTAGCTTTACGAACCTGTGTATAAGAGGACATATTGTTGTTAGAAGATAAACCACGGGGTACCACATCAGGGGCTTTATATCTTCCTTCATCAATGCCTGCCAATCAACCATAAAGCACATTGATATCACAGTCAGTCGTTCAACAAACAATTAATTAAACATTCTTACTTCTTACTCATTTACTGTGCACATGACATGAAGTGTCCATAGCAGCTGTAACGTTAAGTAACTTAGGGTGTGATTCCTAATTCGGAGTGCAAAAAACACCAAAAATACACAAATTGACTTTCTTCCGCGCTGCCACTGACTACTTGATAGAAGAAATTGAGATTCCGTAATCTGTTAAATAAATCGAGTCAATTCTCGCGGATTATTAATTTCTGCTTGCGGTTATTTTTACGAAATTCAATTTCCGCGGATCATCGAAAAACCTACGAAATTCGGGAACGGAATTAGATCCTGCGAAAATTTAATGCCTCACAGTACTATTCGACTTTTTGATAGCTAAATTTTCAACTGACCTAAATGTATCTAAATCTTGTGTTATTGTCAGTTTCGTTACATGTCCATTTAGAGTAAAAGGACTGATTTTGAAATTCATATCATTCACATGTTGATGACGTCATGTACCTCAGTGATTAGAGTGTCGGTATTTTGGAGTTGGAAGTTCACCGAGGACTCGGATCTTTCTGTCCCATGAACGTGACATCATTTCATCTAGATCATTGCCGGGTTTCTAAACTTGTTGTGGGTTTGGCTCATCAGTTTAAAAAGCATTCAGAAACATTCCGCCCTAAATGACTGCAGTCTGATTTGACATTTACGACGAAAGAAAAACAGGTGTCATTCCCAGTTAAAATGCCCCCCTCAAAACTTATTTCGGCCAGTTAAAAAGTGGCTCTGATTTAACATCCATACAAAGTAAAATAAAAATCTGTAAGACAGATTTTTCGCAAACTAAGAAAATGTGAAGTTAAAAAATAGCTCAAAATCTGTAAGACAGATTTTTATTTTACTTTGCGTGAATGTTAAATCAGAGCCAATTTATTCCTGCAATTCTGAGGTGGGTTCATAGGGTAGATTTTGAGAAAAAGGTGATTTAACCAACTAGTGCCCAGTCTTTCCTTGGGTACTCGGTCGTTCATTTTGGCCATTTGTTGACGTTTAATTGTTCAAGTTTCACATAGAACGGTAAAATACTTAAGTAAACAGTAAATAGAGAAAGGAAAAACATCTTGTAACAGTTTTCAAAAGAGTTAAAAGTTGGGCTGTTATAATCCTTCAAAACTGTAGTAAGCAACCTTAAATTACAATAATCTTCAGAGACCAAAATGTTGCACTATAGGTTCATTTGCTACTGCAAAAAAAAAAAACATAAGCTTTCAGTAGAAAAGAAAAACATGGGGTATCGATATATCTTACATGCAGATCTAATTACTTCCTTTTACGCTTTAGAAAAAAAACTTACTTTACTTCGCTCAGCTTCAGCATTGTATATTCCTTCCCAGCGTTTTATCTACGGGATAAAAAGCAGAGCACATTGACTATAACTTTAATTGAACCTTTTTTTCACTACAGTTGGCAATTTAAGTGTAACCTTGAACCTGTTGCTCATTTGTTTTAACATTACTTCTTGTAAACATCCTGTTCATACCGATAATTTGACCGCACATCACCCAAAGCCATCACAGCGAACCTTACGTGCTTTACTTAAAATCTTTGATGTCCCTGAATCACCGAGGAGCTAAAAACCATTTAAACATCACCTATACCTAGGGAAAATAAGGGGGCAGTGTTCCGTTATTTTTCTTGAAAAAATTCACACTGCAATTAGGAATTTGAAACCATAATCTTTGCAATTCCTGTGCAAACACTACATCTATAGGTCCTATAGTTTTAGTTCTAGAATAGGTAATGTAGTCCAATATATATATACGATGAATCACTCCTGAAGTCCTGAACTACATTTAATGAAT